TTCACCATGAAAGATTCGTTTTTCCATCGTTTGACACTGAAGGGGGATGGAAACATACGCCATTGACGAGTCCCTGAACCTGACATTCTTCTTATGCTAGCGACACTCTTGTTGATATAACTGCTCTCGCTTTTTGCCATGCGCGTTTCTTCCTGGCAGCCCAAAAGTACAATGAATTCGAATAAAAGTATACTCTTCCGATTTAATGGCCGCTTCGAAGCCAAGCTACGATAGGCCGGATTAATAACGTAAAACTCGACATACCTATTGCCACCCTTTCTGAACGTTTCTCCCACTGTTCTTACAGAGACCTTTTATCATGAAGTCCCATTTTCCAACGTTTCCGCGGGTTCCCCCTCGCCTCGAATAGATTAACTCTCAGAGTTGCAGGAAGGACGTGGCGTATATATATGATAGCGATGCGGCAATCACTGGGGGCTGCGACCATTACAGAGATACCCAGATATTAAATGCTGGGAATATGAGATTAGATTCTCGTTGTTCACGCAGGGCAATGCTACTATTGCAGTTACTTTACTCGGATAGTTCAGGCCAAACGATGGTTTACCCGACATGTTGGTCTAGTTCAACTTAACTAACCAATGGTTAGAGTTGAGCTAGAACATGGCGACTGGTATCCACAGCAAGCGTAAAAAGCTTTCGATGGGTCACATCTCGTGTGCGGCACGTACGACTCGTGCATTATTCGGAAACGATATGATACGTAGCCATTTAAACCTGATGTGTATGGGAACGTACATTTCGCCAGCGTATTTTTCTCTATGCGTCTTAAACGTAATTTATATACAGATACCATGTGTGTTAATCCGATGTCTGTCACGGGGCAGCTTAAGCGGTGTCTGCAAATTCTCGACTAAATCTAATTAGTTGACGTCGCCGACGCAAAAGCCTGACTTGGCAAGAAACCACATTTTGCTTCAAATGATCAGAAGCCGACCTTTATCCATAAGCTGAATACTTTTTTGCAGAGTTCTACAATAAATATGGGTTGTTTTGTGCAAATTCCCTATCCTATCAATAGTACCGAGGGAATAAAATATCCGCAAAAGAGAAATTCTAACGCCATATATAGAAGTTTTTGCCGTGACGAATTACTCTGGGGGTAATCTGCGACTGTTAGTATATTTGCTTTGTTTTGCAAAGCAAAAACTCCGCTAGCGTCACGGCAGCAGAAATCTCTTTGACGTAGGCCGATAGCAAGTACAAAGGGTAAGCGGTGTATGCTATTACTTCTTACACTGATACTGCTGATATGACAAAAAAAAACCATTGTCCCTGACATTGTTGGTTCTATACCTAAAGCTCATGCCCCTGTTGAACAGAATTTTTGTCATTGGCTGAAATTAGTACCCGATATTAATACGATTAGGAGGAATTAGCGAATAATCTCAGCTAAAGCGACACGGAGAGAAAATTTGCCAAGACCAAGACGGATCGGAAATCACGATTCAAACCGGTGCGCGGTTATTGACGATAGCGGAAGCGCTATCTAGCGCGTTTTGTTCTCGACGTCTAAAATTAGACCTAGCTTTCATACTTTGCGTCTGATATGAAGCTGTATGTATTGGAGAAGAGGACGTCTTCAAAGACCTGTTTAAAAGGCTTCCTGAAATATATTTCCTCAAAGAGGTCAAGAAGGCTTTATATAGTATTAGCTCAATCCTGTAATAGCCGGCGTACTCGCATCACCTCCAAAATCGTCCGCACCAGTGGCTTCCGGTGATAAGAGATTAGGGATGCATTACTGAAAGATTTAGAACCAAAGAACTACTTGCAAGGGCACTTAGAGTGTCCGAAAATGGATACTTTCGTGGCCTGCAATAGAGGATTCAGGCCTGAACTAGCAATATATCTGCACAAATCGTTTTTTGCTATTGTAGAGATCCTCAAAAACAGCTGGATTTGGATTGAATATTAAATTTTGGGTTAGTTCACCATATGCTTATAGAGAATTGTTTCAGGACATTTCTGCTTCGTCATGTACCGTACTACTGTTGCACAGTGTCTGTGAATAAAGGCTTCTCATGAATTGTAATCAGCGGAATAATCTGTGCAACTAGTCCTTGCCATCCAGTATATTATATTGCGTACTTTTCCTCCGTTGATTTACTTTACTTTCCTTTAGGCAGGACAAGCTAGGACCCGACGCTATTCATGCGACTTGATTGTCTTCTTCACTCGCAGTGTCAGTGTGCCCAGCGGTATTTCGTAGGAGCGGTTACGTTTACGTACGTCTTGCTTCGTTCGATTGAGTTTTACTTAGTATAACTACCGCAGGACTAAAACTGCTAGATAACACATATCATTTTGTTAACCTGACCGTTTTTCACATTCACGTCCTACGCGTAGACAGCAGAGGATAAGTGCCGCCATACACGTTTATCTTTTACCACATCAGACACTTTGTTCCCATGGACGATTGTGCGATAAAGGCGTTACCGACTAAAAAAAAAATTTCGCGCACACACTTTCGCGCTCGACGCCAATCTAACTCGACAAGTAGGTTCTTCTAGCAGAGTTCCCTTTAGACTAGACTTTCGACCCAGAAGGGGGATAGGTTAGCTCTATTTTCGCCTTGCCGTTCCTGACTTTTACCTGCTTGTTCTCATACTGGTCTCTGGTGCTAATGGTCCCTAAGATGTGACCACCTTTTGCGGCCTGGCTCGTTGTTTCAGAGTCGTTTCCATCCCATCACCCCTGACACGCATTGCATCAGCCTTCCTTAGCTCAGTCACTACCTTTTTGAGTCCCAGTTTGTTTTTCATTCGTACTTACGTCGAGTTCGTTTACCTAGCTACAGATAACCGAATCTATCATTTACAACGCCTTCACAAGTCGATACTCGCAGCAGTGCTCGCTCTCTGCTCGCTATTATGAAATGGGGGCTTGAGCGATAGCGAAGGCGCCAGCTGCCTTATGCGTTAGTGTCAGAAGCGACTTCGTAAGTGCTTTCGTTTGGCTTGCAGACCTAAGCATCGCAACAGAAGCAGCGACCAGGTATCAAATGGCCGGCGACGATGTTAAAAGGGGAAGAAAATGTTTTACTCCTTGTGACGTATCTGATTCTTTTACGTCTTTCGGTCTTTCGCTCCGTCTTCGAAGTCAGCCAACGCGACCACCTCGCCATCTATTGAGCCTCGTGCGTCTGTTATTGAGCCTTGGCTGAAAGCTAGGCCACCTTGAAAAGTTGGCAGATAATTACCCTTCAATCCAGCGAGAGAACAGGAGCTTTTCTAAGCTTTACCATTCTAAGTGAACTTTTTTTCACGACTATTTATTTTTAGACGAATTGTGTTTAAGACTGAAACAGTTAGGCAGGGTTATTGTTGCTCCAACCAGAGTTCTATTCCTTCAGTTTAATTCGTCGCGTGATTAACAAGACGCTCAATCTTCAAACTGATACGCTCCCCATAGATTCACTAGTTGCCATATCCAATTATGTGATGATCGTCTCATTAATAGCAAAGATCGAAGATACAATTGCTTCCGCAATCGATATGTATTAGAGAAAATATAAACGTATGCTTACTCGAAAACGATTAGGTTCCTATGAATGACGGGGTCCTCCCTACGGTCTATGTGGCTAGGGTTTCTGGTTAAAGCTCTCCCTTACTCAACTGATAGTAATTATTTAAATATCCATAAGCGAAACGCATTACGAGGTATGCGAATTCTGTGTATGCAAGGAGGCAATCCTATAGGCCTATGTGATAGCACACTGCTCGACTTTTATCAATGATGTCAGGCATGCAAGGTGAAATCATTATATATATTATTATATATATTATATTTTTTAATTATATATATATATATATATATATAATAATAGTGTTATCGTTATCACAGGATTTAGAAATGAAATTCTGTAACGATTTTAAAAACAAAAAACCATACGGCAAATGCAGAGAAATTGCTTCTAGTGTTAATCGTAATTTAATACTTAGTAGCGAACGACCAAAAAAGGCGTAGAACATGGAGCTAAGGCCTTTAGTAGGACAGATCCGAAAATTTTGCTAGGAAAGGTAGTGATTTCGCTTAGCCTGTAGAACTGAAGAACATTACGGTTTCCATAAGGCTTACCTACTAGCTCGACATAGATGTAGAGATCACACTTCTATAGCCTAAACGCCGCGTGGCTACTGTGCTTGAGCGAACAAACGAACCGACATTTAATTTGTCTAAGTCGTTTGAGAAATAGTATAACCTAATACGACCGCTACATGACGTCTCCCTTTCGCCTACTTTGATCGATTTAATCTTAGTGAGCCATACACGAAGGTTGTTATTATCTTCTGATCTTTCTAATTACCGTTGCAGTTTGAGTCGTCCTGCTGTAACGGCTACGGAAACGCTGGAGACGCTTGTTTCCTGAAGCGGACTGCCGGTTATCTGCTCGGTCGTAGCTCTTGCCCTTTCACGCAAATCGCCGAAGTGACATCTGACAGCGATTGCTCCTTTCTGTAGTTTCCTATCAGCTATTTCTGGCTCAGATGGTATGTCGTGACGACATCACTGTTCGCAATTCGACACTGTCCGCTAACCAATTGCCCTTGTGGTCCAACAAGTGTCCTTCAAACCCCGCATGTCACCGGTACCTCGAACATATGTGGTCGTCAGCAGTCTAATCCACAGTGCCAAGAGCACGATAGTTAAGGTTCTCGGGAACCAACGTAGGACATAGTACGACAGCTAGACAAACTAGTTAGTTCCGGGTTATAACAAAGAAGGTAGTCTGCCGTGCCTTGCAGCCGCTTTTTCTACTTCTGTAGCCTCTGCGTACGGGACGTCAACCGGGAACACTTTAATTTACCAAAACACTCAAGCGGTCGCAACCGCTTAGCTTTCGTCGTTTTCTCTCTTTACTTACTCAACCAGGTGGAGTTGTGTAGATTTACCGGCGTCTGCTATTTTACTATGTCTATCGGTGAATGGGCGTGAGTTTATGCATGTGTGAACGAGCATACCGCGAGAGATCTTTCGGGAGTTCGAGATACCCAACTAACTGCAGACGATCGGAATCAGGCTAGCTGAAGTAAGATAGATAAGTAACCGAAAACTTTGAAAGGGCTAAATTCCCAAAAATGTCCAGGATTAGTACGGGAAAGATACCGAGGAGACAAGCTATATATACCCAGTATATATTCCGCTGTCAGGCGTTGACTGTTAGTTAGTCCTCAGCGGCAGCATGCCATATTGTAGATGCGCCTAGTAGGATAAATTACCGTTAGCATTTCGTAGACATCGACCATACGTACGTCCTTATTTCAAATTCACAGGAATTTTTTTTGTTAAAAGGGACTAATCAGACTCCACACAGAATGTGACAGTTAATCAGATATGGTGGTATTATCATTCATATGGGACATAGGAATCTAATTAATCCAGAAGTTGGACGTAATGGCCGAGATTTTCTCACGCCGATGTCTGCCCGGGGGAACGAATAATGCAGCAGCAATAGTAGCCAAGATCTTGGGCTAAAGAACAGAATATTACAAGACTATCCGCTATCCTTGGCGACCATTCGTGCAAGAGCGACCCATGGAGGCAGAAGCAGCAACACGCTGCCTGGCATTTTACAAAGGGGCGCGTGATGTTGATGCATTTCGCCTGCCGCCTTAACTCGTGTTGTTCCTTTGCGTATTTGCTCGTCTTACACTCGGCCACATGCTTACATTTCACCAGTCCGCTCGGCAGCTTTCTAACCCATTTTTTTTTATTTTATCTACTCTGTCGACTGCTACTACTAGAGCTGCTATTCCCATGTCTCTTAGAAAATTCGAATCATGCGACGCCGCCGCCGCCGTCGCCATCTTATAAAGACAAAGATGTGTGCAAAGTCACACATTTGAGACTACATAGTACACGACACATATATGTACTCGACTTTTGTGACAGGGCCACGAGACAGCTGGCAAAACGTACCGAGGAAACGTATGGGGACGAACAGGCGAATAAGTTCATGCACACCCTCAAGTAGAAGTCATCAAGAAGAAGCTGTGCAGGCCCATGCGTCCTGTTGACATCCCCAACCGGCTGACATCGCAGTGAACGTGTGTCAGGTGAACGACGATATACGCACACAACATCGGACCTACGTTTGTCGCGACCGCGAGCGTTTGTCTATCAATTAGACGTAGCAATTAGATGTAGCTACCTGGCACATTTGATTCTTGATGTTTCCCTTCAGGTCTTGAAAGCGAATTTCTACGACGATACAACATATTTCTGTAATATGTGGTTATTATGGTTACGCGCCTACATACATAATGTACTACTTGGTAGCTTCTCTGAACTGTTGATCTTCTCGTTGCTGCCACCTATCCGGATCGATACGCTACGTACGTCAAGGGAATTGGATAAAAAGTATCGACGCATTATTCGATAATGGCATCTCAGACCGTCACGTGGGTACTCTTTGATCATTTAATCGTGGTCGCGTATGGAGTGGCCATTTTCCCGAACACACACAGGCTTATGATGACACACTTAGTGGTCATGTAGAGTCAAAAGGCATCGTATTAGTTATGCTCAATTCGATAATATCTAAGTAAAGAAAGAAGTGGATAAGCGAAGATAATCGAGGATATCACAACTGATAGACTACGATGGGTTACAGTTGTACAGCTTCATTATCAATACCACTTACCTTAATACTATTCTCAATACTATGCTCATTGAACCACAATGCAATTACACAACGGTACGTGTCGATAGAAACGAATTTGCCTGCGGAACACAACAGTCTATAACCAGTCTCAATGGCACAATGCGAAGTATAGTTTCGCTATAACGTGGTGCAAATCATTCACGCAACGTTATTGCGTGTCGTTGTATATTCGCCGCGAGAAGTCGACCAGATGGGAGCCACCGATCATTGAAATAAACACCTCTCGCGTCAGAATCCTGAAACGATACAGCCATCAGCGAAGATGGAGGCGTTACCCAAACTACTACAGACGACTACGAAATTACAAAAGCTGTCCCTGAACTTCTCCGTCTGTTGCTTTTCTAGCGGTTGCCCCTATTACTAAAATTACTATGAATAGTAATCAGGCAGCATATAACGGGTGTTTAAGTCTATTTTACTTGTTCCTAAAATATTTTTGCCACTTTTTATCATTGTGGAGTCCTTCTCCTTCATCCTTCGTCGCCAGCAATCTCTCCACCGCATAATAGTCGTAAGTTGGTGTTTTATATCGGTATTGGCTTGACTTTCAGCTACGTAGTTTAAAGCAATAAGATCTATTGATAGTTGATCTTTAATTCGCGTATTCAATAGTCTGCGGAACGTAGATGGTCAACGCGCGTGTGTACATATTTCAGTCGATAATAAACAGGTCAAGGGCCCAATTGTGGGCGTCTTATCAGCGGCACAAGCGCTGTCCGCCCAATGTGAGAGACAAACCGATTAACAGTTAGAATGTGTATGCGGGATACTTGCATAATGTATAGTCGCTAATACCGGGTTATATATATAATTACAAGAATTGTTTTACCTTCAAGTTTTTTTTGTTTAATATACCTGCGTTAGACGTTACGTGAGAGAGAATTATTTTAACTACCCAGGTCAACATTAGGAGCTTATCACGACATTTTCAGGTGCGCCCACTCACTGGCTGGCTAACCCCGAAACGTATCGCGATCCAGGTTGAATCTCTTAAACAAGAGCAGAATATACCGTTCATTAGCAAGCGGTATGTGTTCGTGCTGGCACTACGTAATTAGACAATATTGAAGGAGGCAGGACGCCTTCCAGGGTAGAAACGTTCACCCCATTTCCGTTCAACTTTAGCCAGATAACTTTCTTTCGTCTCGTTACGCTCACTACGTTTTAGCATACGCCAAGATGTTAACGAAGAGCAACAACAAGTAAATAGTATTATAAATGAGAGCCCAAGAAAGCCTGCAACATAGCCGTATTAGGCCGATGGTCCTACAAGGCCTGCTGTGACAATAATTCAATTATCCAGCTCAAGCTGAGTTGGATAACTCTGCAAGGTAAAACAGTGGTGCGGCGGGCAAAGATATTAAACTATCCATTCTGCTGTCACAGTCTTAACTTAGGTCAATGCAGAATTTCCGTGCAGAATCAACGAAACGCTTTGAAATGACTTCATGGTAATTCGAAGCACGCTATAATTGTGCACACGCATAGTGTGAGTACGAACCGTTGAGTTAATAACACGAACGAGCATTATTTCAGATCGGCTTTATCATCATCATCATTGTCGTTACCTGCCTTCTCCTGACCACCCCATCGAAACAGTAATGAACGCATCTAAGTTGTGTATACAGCAGCTATGGGGGTTGTTACCTCATGGCACAAGCTATGTCCGAGAAGAGCCTTGCTGCCATTTTGGTTGATCACCTGCGCGCTGTACCGCCTTTCGTGCGCGCATATTGTCCATCTCGTCAGGAAATATTTTGCGATTTGCGTGTTTAACAAGCTAATGCACAGGGCTGTAAGAAAAAAAAATGTAAAGATGAATATATTGCGATGGTATTATGGCTCCTCAATGGGAAGTGTATGTGGGTTACTTATACCTAGTCAGCGGGATATATGCCCTTGAAGACATTATAAGCCAAAGTCTTGATCACCATAGTTCTTCTAGCGTGTTTGCTTAACGCTGTATGTAAATAATCTTCCCACTGAGCCATAATAACATTGATTGACGGAATACGTGACCACTGTTGCTAATGGTAAGAAAAAAGCTCACGCCAATGCTTAAACCGTTTTAATAAAAATTCATATTTTACTTCGGTTCATCTTCGTTTGGTTTTAGCTTTGTCAAGTCCAAATTTATTTTTGAAGGCATCTGTATCTTGTCAAGGGGCCTACTACTTTAAACAACGACAAATCTTGTCCTGTCTTACCTCGATTTTGTTGCTATACCAACATTTTGCAACAGTTTCACTTCTGACGTTACATCGAGCTGTAACGGTTGTAATAGCAACTTGTAACGACACACTGAATCTTATGTTTCTCCTCAGAATGGCCGTACTGTTATCATCCACCTCATCATTAGCATTGTCTCTGCCAATGTACGTTCATTGTGCTTGTTGTTGTCTGCTGGCTTGTCGCTATATACAGTTTCAAGGTGCCAGCGAGTCCAGTTAAGAAACGCAACGGAAAAAGAACCTCTAATGATACTAGTTACTAATGATCTATATAGACGGTGATTCGCAAGGCTTACTGGAAAATAGTAATTATTGCCAGTACTAAAAAAAGGCTCACGCCATTCAAGCCGTACGATGAACGAAAATTACGCAACAAACTCAATCGCATATCAATATAAACTTATAAAAATCCCTAAGTGAAGAGCTCATTGCTGTTGCAGAAATCTGTTGGGCAACAGTAACGCTTACAAGGATGTGCGCTACACATATATACGTACGCTACCGTGATGCGACTGGTACGCAAACACGCATGTGCGGCTATAGCAAGCTCAACAAAATTAGCAGACACCGCTCGGTCTAAGGCCAAACCAGTCTCCTTCAGTACTACAAATCTACTGGAAGTGAACTTGGTGTTCATACAAAAAGTAAAGTACGGAACGCTATCATATCCTGAGCATCATTTTTCGAACTCTTCATCTCCTGTTGCGTAGACAGATATGCCCCTTAGCAAATCCACTCCCAGCCTCAAAAAAACACTGTGCTTAAGTTTATCCACCTAAGCCTATTCGCACTGTTAGAGCATTCTCAGACAGGACCCAATCTCAGTGGTATAATTCAAATATTCGTACATTTGTCCTTCTAACGTAACGATGGCAGTGAACAGACACATTCCTCTCGCATCTATATAGAGATAGACTGTTATTATTTGTTGCGGCAATGTGGTCACGCGTGGTGTAGTCGTCGCATGCCAACGTACACTCCGGGTCATGCAATGCACTCACCGTTACTTGACTGCCATTAACGCATTCTATATATTGTTTGACGAAATGAACGCTCAAATGTTTAAACCAGTCTGGCAACTCGGTATACACACTGATACAAATAGAATATGGTTACTACCATATTAGTTTCATATTTTCGAAGCAGAGGCACGAACCGGGTATCGATTCAACGTTCAGTTCCGATTCACGGCAATTCTGTACTGTATTTTAAGCACATAACAAAACCCAATCCTTTGATGAACTCGAAACTGGGTTCGTTATCAACTGCGTCGCAAAGCTCCTTCAGGTTGACTTAAATTTACTAAGAAACACCGTCGACAAGACCAACTCTTGTGCAATGTATAACACATATATAGTCCGATTCCATTTGTTGTTATCGTGTAGATATTTTGTCACAACCACTTGAAATTTGGCCAGAGTTTATATTAGCGATATGTCGTTGTCTGTTTAGAGACTATTGTTCTAGGGCAGAGGGGGCAAAGGTCGGATACACATAGAATCATGTGTGACTGGTCCAATGTCAATCAACTTCAAATGGACCCAGCGAATCAGGTCGTAGGACGGAGGATTATGAAGAGTTTACACAACTCCTGCATCCTGTATTTCTTGCTGGTGCATGCATTTCTTCAAAACGGCCTAATTATCAATGCACATCAGTGCAATCGCGGATATACACAAACTGTACAAGCCTAATTTATCTACCCATAAATTTTGTTTGAATGTTCTTCTGTGTCTCGCTACGTCGTTAAGGTAACCTTTATAGTCGAACTAACTCGTCCTTTTTATTGATAGGACGGAACTTTACAGTGAAGTTAAGCGCAACATTGACTAACTCACCCTGCGTCAGACACTGCAGTAGGCAGCAATGCGGATGCTGTAAGTTTACTTCACTATGCACATAGCATATCAGTTCCTGTGAAAAACATTTTATTGGAACAACCCAACAGCAGTTACGAAGCATCGACTTAAAAAGAACTTCTCTACCATTTATCAAAGTGCTAATAACTTTCTCAGCGGGTTCGTTTACGGACATGCGGCAGCAGATGCCTTAGTCTACTCAAGAAAACTTTCTTCAGTATACTCAACAGGGAGCGTAACGGAAGTTAGAACACACCAAGGCGTGCCTGCCTTTTCGCTGAAAGATTTTCCAAGCCTGTGCGACCTGTGTGCCTCCGACCACTAGCTAAAAGTACACTTGTTCACTAAACGAATGTTTTCAAGAGACAACTTTATCACCATGATGAGTACCAGTGTATAATAGAATCCCACAGTTTTTAGCAAGGTAACCGTTTTTGTGCTTAGAGCATCTACGTTTAAAACCTTGGATTAAAAATTACGCGACGTTTAGCAACGCTTTATCGCTGTATCGCCTTTGTTACCCATTACATTTCGCATTGACACCTTCACAGCCTTCCTGATGGTCCAGTTTGAGGGTGCTTTCCCAATGCTTAGGGACCCGTAGTGGTCCAAGTTCGAAACTGGGCGTAGACACACTTCATTTTGTGCTGGAAGCCAGCCATCTGAAGCAACAGTTAATGGTATTACTAGACGTAGAGCCAGAAATACGTGTAATTTATTTATCGTTTGATGTGATTTATATGAAGGTTGCATGTTTACAAGGCCTAGTGCCCACAACTCACGATATGAACAGTAGTATTTGAAGAGACCCTAGAATCAGAAGTCATGAGTGTCGGCTAAATGAAAAGAAATATAGATCTGTTCCGCACCGAAAGATTAATAATTCACATCATGCAAATGGCGCAGAGAGAAAAACAAAGAAGTGACACCGAACATGGATTTTAGCTAGGGTATCGGGCATCTGCACTTTCCTAGACCAGTTGTCTCCTATTCAAGACTCCTCCATTTAATTTTCGATGTTAGCGCATTTGCTCATGCACTAAATACACATATATAAGTCTACTTAGGTACAATCTGAATTTATTGTGGGTCTAACTTAGACAAACACACAGGGATACATTCTAAGGTAAGAATTACGCCGATCGTAGGTAGCTCCGACTTCGGAAAGGAAAGGTAATCAGATCCAGTGCAAAGTCTTTCGAAGCTTGAGTTGGATCGTGAAAAAAGAACCGACACGGTGATACTACACACGTGATCGATTGGTGGTATAAGGTAGACCCTTTTGTATGGTCCACCTTGGTCGACAAATTGCCTTCTATACTAAACATACAGCTTAAGATGTTACAAAGAATGCCCCCAAAAGTTTCAGCTCGCTATAGGTCAGCTAACTACCAGATAAATGCTGCCCTGATTAATTAGAGTGTTAGATAATCGGAAAGCATCATTCGCACTTATCTATCACAAAAATCTATCTAAACTATCACTAAATCAGACTGCTACTTGAGGCGGTTGACTTTATTTTATATTAATTTGAGCTGATAAAGATAGGTTTACTGTAATGAGCTGACAGTATATCTGCAAGATCGTTATTATAGTTTATTGTTTCATAGAAAACAGCTGCGGGGTACAACAAATCTTATACATCGGGGGTTCCGTGATAGCCCTCATAAAAGTAACGTGTTAGCTATGTATGTGTAACGGTGTATGTATATATATACGATACTCATAATAATGAAAACCTAGCACGTAGCCCGTACTGGCTTATTTTAGCTCGTAGACTCTGTATGTGTAGGTCTATAAAAGGTCTGATGTATACAAATCTCGCTGTCCTAATGCCTTGAAATCAATCATCTCACTTAGTTAGCCGGTACAGTATCAGCACCATAATCACAGCTGCGATAACACGCTATTACCTCGTTATCTATTTTTCACTCCACGTTGATCTTACACATTTGTTATACAGGCCGAATTCCGCTGGACTTATTCCGCATTGTTATTTTGTTTTCTTGCAAATTTGTTTTGCGATCATCGTATAATCACCGAGGTCCTAATTGGCCGTCGTGGCGGAACTACCGACGTAATTTTCAACGCAGTCTTGGTTGAATTGCCCACAGCTGTAAGAGTCGGTGAAAGGATTCTTATGGAAAGCGAAGCTTGGGTGCCCCGAATCCTTTTGAAGAATTAGAAGCGACAGTTAGGGTGGTCAATATCCAGAATGGTGTGCAAATGATTTTTCTGCAATGTAATCTACAACTATAACTATTGTTGTAACAACTGGTTTTTATGTTCCCGTTAGTACAGAGATCGATGCCGGGGAAACAAGGAGAACAAAGGTTTGTGCCAGTGGCCAAAACCGGTGAAAGGCTAGACCCGATAACCCCACAACCTTTGCTATGCTTTTATTCGTGCCAGGTTTTCTTTCGTTGTCCTTTGCGATCTTTGTTGTAAGGACTGAAGCGTCCATTTAAATATGTATAGTACATGTAGGAGACGGTACCCTGTGTCGGTGTCTGCACGATAACGCATTTTCATATTGAGGTACTGCGGTACAGTCGTAACGAGAGGAACAG